GAAGTTCTCACCTGTAATTCCAGCAACACAGTAGCTGAAGCAGGAGGACTGCCAAGAGTCAAAGCCCACTTTGTGTTGCAGAGTGAAAACCTGTCTTAGCAACAACAAACTCAAACTAAATGAAACCAAACTCTCAGAAAAGTTGCATCAAATTAATGAGTTCAATTTTCTGTATAAATAGACAAACTGAAGCCTTTAGCCAGCTATACCACCAGGGGCAGAGCTTAATTCAAACAATAGTCAGTTGGTATACAGTGGGGGCTAATTGAACCTTCTCCATCCAAACACCCATAGGTACATGCTCCTGGATTCCTAGAGGGCCTTTGCCTCCTAGAGTTCAGGAAGCCTCCTAGAGTTCAGCAAAGCAATGTGTACCTGATCCCATGGAGGTTACCACACCTGGTCTTAGGTAAGAATGGAAGCTCCATCCTGTGCACCAGTCCTGTTTCCTACCCAGAAACTTCCTCAAAAGAGAGGTACTGAGTCTGGCAGCACAGGATTTTAACTCAGACCCTTGGGAGGCAGAGATAGGAGACAGGCAGATCCCTGTGAATTTGAAGCCAGCCAAAGCCACATAATAAGAAGATAGGTGGAAGCCGGCCGGGCATTGGTGGCGCACACCTTTAATCCCAGCACTCGGGAGATAGGCAGATGGATCTCAGTGAGTTGAGGCCAGCCTGGTCTACAGAGCGAGTGAGTGCCAGGATAGGTTCCAAAGCTACACAGAGAAACCCTGTCTTCCAAACAAACAAACGAAGATAGGTGGATGGACAGATAGATAACAAAGAGAGACTTACTTTTACTTGCAGTCCCAGGAGTACCCATGCTGAATGTGCAGATATGAATGTAACCCCATTGCCTGCCCTAGATGCTGCATAATGGGTGTGGGAGATGGAGCCACCACTAGCTAATTAGCTGGCCAACCTAAGCAGGCCATGTGGAGCCTGAAGGCCAGTTCCTATGAAGGCAAAGTCCACCACAGATGACCCACAGCAACCGATCAAGGCCAATGCCGACCAAAGGTTATGCCCACCAGAAAAAAACCAAGTTGTCAATCAGGTTGGGATGAAGCAGGCGGTACCCTTTGGGGCCAAACCCCCAAATGAAGTAGTTGGCAGGGGTCCAGTAGTTACCCAAGGAGTATCACAGGGGAGGACAGGCTAAACAGGGGTCATGGGAAAAGGCAGCAAGGGGGTGACCATCAACTAGGAAAGAGTGCAGCATGAATCTTACTTAACAAGACTGCTTGACAGCAAGCTTTCCCAAGAAGTGTGTCGACAAGGGAGACTTGGAAGAACTCTATTTTTTTTTTTTTTTCGGTTTTTACGAGACAGGGTTTCTCTGTATTGTCTTTGGAGGTTGTCGGTCCAGCCTGGCCTCGAACTCTCAGAGATCTGCCTGCCTCTGCCTCCCGAGTGCTGGGATTAAAGGCATGCGCCACCACCACCCGGCTGAAAGGACTCTAAAGGAAGAGATGAGATGACAGGAGGGAATGGAGGGTACTCGTCAAGGTTAGTGAAACCAGGGAAGGGTGAGGAGAGGGAGGGATACCGAGAAGTGCTAGCAGGGCTGCTCATCTAGAGGTACCCACCCTCCTGGAGTAGACCCAGAGCCCTGGGTGGGGCCCAGCCAGCATCAAGACTAACTGGATGCTCACTGGTTACACTGACCAAAGGGCTTTGCACTGAGAAATGCTCATGTTTTAAAATAACAGGTTTGTGGGTCTAGGCATGAGGCTCAGAGGTAAAGCCTAGCTTTCTTGAGGACCTGGGTTCTACTTCCAGCACTGTAATAAATAATTGCTTATTGTTTGATAGTGCAATGCCAAAAATAAAGAATTTTGAGATGCTGAAATAAAAGGAAAGATCCACCATCAATTCTCTGGAAGGTACTATCAAATTTACAATTTCTATGGCAACTCTGCATGAACCAGAATATGCAATTCAGTAAGATAAACTCCAGTCATTCCACACGTGCAGCGATGGGGAAGTCCTCAGTAATTACTAAGCAGGGACTCCCAGCGGAGGCAGCCCGTCAAATGCTTCCTGAAGGGCAACTTAACCCATGTGCTCTAGATAAATTACAAACAAAAATCTTTCCTAAGACACATCTGACTCTTTTTAAGCACACATGCCCACAGAATAAATCCCAAACTGAATGGCAAGCATCTGGACAAGTGCCACTTAGTTCTCCTAATGATAAACTACAATCTACTAAGCCTGAATGTTAGTTAACATGTCAGTAACAACCACATATGGTTAATTACCACTTGTTCACAGCTAAAGATGATCACCTGTAGGTTGAAGTTCACTGCAGCACACTTCATTCCAGTAAGAACATAAGCACTTGAGCCGGGCGTTGGTGGCGCACGCCTTTAATCCCAGCACTCGGGAGGCAGAGGCAGGCGGATCTCTGTGAGTTCGAGGCCAGCCTGGTCTACAAAGTGAGTTCCAGGAAAGCCTCCAAAACAATACAGAGAAACCCTGCCTCGAAAAAACAAAAAAAAAAAAAAAAAAAAAAAAAAAGAACATAAGCACTTGCCAGGCAGTGGTGGCACATGCCTTTAATTCCAGCACTCTGGGGCACAGGCAAGTGGATCTACAAAGTGACACATCCTGGATGCCAAACAGTGACATACTCCAATAATCAAGACAACCAAGTTTCAGAACCACAAACTGTCCCTGAGACATGCTTTCTCTTTTTAGATTCATTGTATGGGTATTTTGCCTGTATGTGTATCTGTGTACCATGTGTGTTCCTGGCACCTGCAGATTTCAGAAGAATGCAAGATTCTCTAGACCTGGACTCATAGGTGTGTTGTGAGCTGCCATGGCTGCCATATGTGTGCTGGGAACTGAGTCCAGGTCATCTGGAATAGCAGCAAGTGCTCCTATCCACTGAGTCAACCCTCCAGCCCAAGACATGCTTTCTTTTTACAAGTTAAAATTATCACTGGTGAATTCTACAAGACATCCCCAGGCCATACTCTAGGACAAGGTCAGACAAGGAGGGTACCATTTGTCTCATGTATTCCTGCTCTAAGGTCTGGTAGCAGCAGCCCCACGGTGACCAAGAGATCGTGGAAAATTATGAACTGAGCCCAGGTCTTAGCTACAGAGTCACCTGTCTTCTAAGGACATGTTCAAAAGGAGCCAGTTCAAAAAGGAATTAAATTAAATACCACAGGTGGCTGCATATCTTTAATCCTAGTACTTAGGTGGCAGAGGCAGGTGGATCTCTGTGAGTTCAAAACCAGCCTGGTCTACATAGTGAGTTTCAGGTCAGCCAGGGCTACACAGACTATGGCTTAAAAATAGGTGGAGCCGGGGTGTTGGTGGTGCACACCTTTAATCCCAGCACTTGAGAGCGAGTTCTAGAACAGCTTCCATAACAATACAGAGAAATCCTGTCTCAAAAAAACAAAACAACAACAAAAACTACTGGATGGTGGTGGTGCATGCCTTCAATCCCAGCACTTGGAAGGCAGAGACAGGCAGATCTTTTGAGTTTAAGGCCAGTCAGTCTACAGATCAAGTTCCAATAGAGCCAGGGCTATACAGAGAAACCCTATCTCAAAACAACAACAAAATTACTGTATGCATCTAGAGTGTATGTGCAAGCATGCACATATACAACAGCATGTGTATTGAAGACAGTGTGATTTGTTTTGGTTTCGAGCCTAGCTATTAAGGGCTGGGCCATCCCTCTAGCTCTAGGGTATAGTTTGTATGAGTTTTCTTCTTCCATTATGAGCTCCAGGGATAAAACTTAAGTCATCAGGCTTAGCAGCCACTGCCTTTACCCAGTGAACCATGTTGTTGGCTCTAGAACACTACTGTAACTGAAGCTCAGCAGGCTGCACTTTATCTAGGTACATTAACAGCAACAATATATCCACTAAAAACTTTTCTGTGAGGGACTGGAGAGATGGATCAGCAGTTAAGAGCATGTACTGTTCTTCTAGAGGATCTGGGTTCAATGCCCAGTAACCCATACGGCAGCTCACAACTGGGTGTAACTCCAGTTCCAGGGGACAGAACACCCATGCAAAACACCAATACACATAAAATGAAAATATGTTTTTTGAAAAGGAGCATATACTTCAAAGGAGTCAAGTTGAGCTTCCAGAATCCACACTAAGTAACTTACAACCATCTGTAGCTCCTGTTCCAGGAGATCCTCAGGCCTTTGTGGGCACCTGAACGCTCATGTGCACCACACACACCCTGAGTAGAAAACAACTACCCCCACCTCCCCAAACTGCCCAAAGGACCAAGATAACACCTCATGATACTATGCTCCTCCTCCCTCTGAATACGAAGTCTGACTTGAACTTTCTCCATCTTCATACTTCAAAACAAAGACATTCGGGCTGAAGAGATGGCTCAGTCAGTAAAATACTTGCCTTGCAACTATAAAGAACTGAGTTTGATCCCCAGAACCTTAAACAAAACAAAACCAAAACCAGACACATCGGCACACACTTGCAATCCCAGTGATAAGGAGGCAGAGACGGGTGGTCCCCAGAGCTTGCTAGCAGACCAGCAAGCCTAACCTAGGTGACCAGCTCCAGGCCAATGAGAGAATCTTTTTCAAAACGAAGTGAGGAACACACTTGAGGCTGACCTATGAGCTCGAATCTCCATATACACAAGAGTATGAGCACCCACAGACACTCTGCATCTGCACATGTAAGCACACACATGTATACACACACAGAGATACACAAATAGACATCTGTTCATAATACCAGTAGGAAACTTGTAAAATATAAACCAACCTTGACTTATTAAAATGTGAAAGTGTTCCATAAATGACAGTGTGCAAATAAAACAACTGTCCTACCATTTTAAAAAAAATGAGCTCAATGGTAGAGTCCTTGTCTAACATATGCAAGGCCATGGGTGTCACTTAATATCCATTACATTATTACTAATAATAAAAGGCAAAATCACCTCAGATTAACAATTCTGCTCCCCTTCTTTAAAATACACAGGTAAGTGCTTGCTTGCTTCGGCACCACATACACTAAAATTGTAACAATACAGACAGAATTATCATGGTCCCTGTGCAAGGGTAACATGCAAATTCACGAAACGCTCCGTATTTATTTATTTATTTATTTATTTATTTATTTATTTATTGTGGTCAGGATGTAAAACGAAACAAAAACCAGCCCGGTGTAGGTGGCGAACGCCTTTAATCCCAGCACTCGGGAGGCAGAGGCAGGCGGATCTCTGTGAGTTCGAGGCCAGCCTGGACTACAGAGTGAGTTCCAGGACAGCCTCCAAAACAATACAGAGAAACCCTGTCTCAAAAAAACAAAAACAAAACAAAACAAAACAAAAAACCCTTTCAAAACAAAAAATAGTAAGCAGCAAGGAAGAATTCCACACTTATATGTAAGCCAAGTACTTGAATGACAAGCAACTGACCACACAAAACCGTTTTAAATCAGGTAGCTGCAAAACAACGGCCAATTTTAAAGTAGAGCAGGATAAGGCTTGAAAGTGAATCAAAATCAGTTTGAATTACCAAACATTTCCCCCTACAACACACATGATCTATCAGGAAACTAGCGTAAAAATGGCTAGTTCTGCTGACTCCTGGAAAACCTGAGTAAAAATGACGTTCTCCTCTACAGGTGGCAGATATCAAAAAGAACCAAGGAGCTCGCATACTGGCATCACCTTTCTTTAATGCCAGCTCTTGGGGAGCCGTGGCAGGTGAATATCTGAGTTCCAGGCCAGCTTGGTCTACAGAGTGTTCCAGGACAGCCAGAGCTACATAGAGATTATGCCTCAAAACCAGGAACCTCAAGAACCTGTTCATCTGTCCTGGGGAGAGGCCAACAGCCACCCACCGGAGCCCCACTTACTCATCGCCGTCGGGACACAGGCCGGTGGCCTCATCGTACTTGGAGCAGTACACGTCCGGGCTGTAGTTGAAGGTACCATCCCGACGTCGGAGCGGTCTGCGCCGACGCTGATTTAGGAAATGCCAATGGAAACAGGTGAACGGCCTGTGCTGGCTGCACTTATGCTGCAAAAACAGGGAGCACTGCTCTGTCCTAAACTCCTTTAGATACCTAAAAAGACAAACAGGGTTGCGGGCCGCGGCCGCCGCCGGCTGGAGGCTCCTGAGACGCGGCGGGGTAGGGTCCCAGACCCGAAGCCCCCACACCGAGTCCATCTGACTTCCACCCTCCCCTTTCCGCGGGCAAGTCCCTGGACAACCCCCCAACTCAGAGATCAGGTAACTCCAAATAGACTCTCCGTCCCTCGACCCCAAATAGCACTTCCCAGTCCCCAGATAAGGTTCCCCAACTCGAGGCGCACACCTCCCCTCAGCGCGCCACCCCCAAGACCGATCCCAGATAACTCTACACAACTAGACTCCATTCTCCGCCCCCTTCAACACAGTCCCTGACCCTAGGCGCCACCTCTCAATCCCCAGACCCGGTCTCCCGACTCCCGCGCAACTCCCTTCTCGGGTTCCAGATGGACTGCAAGCTCCACCCGCCCACACCAATCGCAACCCCTTTTCGGCGCCGCACAAACGACCCCCCGGCTCACAGCCCAGGCGTCCACCCGACCCTAGGTGCGACTCCGCCCCCAACCAGAGGCCACCCCAGACCCTGGGCGCCGCCTCTCAACCTTAGGGGGCGACTGCCGGCGTCAGGATGGTCGTGCGTCCATCTCCAGCCCAGGCGCGGCCCTGAGCCCCAAACGCAGGCGCTGTCCCCAGACTCCAGCCTGGCGCGCAGGGTCGCGAGAGACCAGAAGCAAGCCCAGCCCCCAAGCCAGCGGTCACCGAAGACCCTGGACGCCACCTCCCACCTTAGGCGGCGGCCCGCGCCCGGACGGCGTGACCCGCCAGGGCTGGCGGCGGGGGCGCGGGCGGGGCGCACCCTCAGCGGCGACACTCGGGCCCGGGGCGCGCGCGGGCCGCTCCCCTGCGCCGCGGCGTCCCGGAGGCCACGGGCTGCAGCCCAGGCACTGACCTGTAATGGGTTGGTTTCTCGGTCTGCGGGGGGGACCCGCTCAGCGCCGCCGCCGCCGCTTTCGAAACCGACGGCATTTTCAGTCAAAACAATGCAGCGCGCATGCGCCGCGCCGGCGCCCCCGGATCTCCCCCCGCACCGACCCCCTGCGCCCCCCGCCGCGCCGGCCACACCCCCAGGCACGCCGCGCCGGCCACGCCCCCATCGACCCCTCGCCCACGCGCGCTGTGCGGCGGGGGGAATTGGGGGGGGCGTTTAACACGCAGAACCTGCGAGCCCCCTACGGCAGCAAGTTATGGGAGCAAAGCAGGAAACGCCCGTTGGTGTAAAGTCCCCTGGCTGGCCTCTGGGTCCAGGGCCGTGGGCCTGTGTTGGGACTCGAGGGCTGCTGGTGGGCCCAAGGTTCTTTTAGCTAGAAAAGGTCTATAATTAGACTGTGGCGATGGCCGCCCCTTTATTTAGAAATTTATGGATGGACCAAGAGTGAATTCTCTGTTGGGCTGCTTTTTAAAAATCACTGTGTAAAAAGTTGGCAGATGAGCACATAGAATAAAGGATGTACAGGGTGGTCAGGAGTGACCTGGGATCCGCAGGGTGCTGGACACACGTTGGGGGAGGGGCTCAGCAGGTGCTAGGATAAACTCGGAAGTAGATGTAACTGTGTGGCATGAGACGCTGTAAATGCAAAGAAAAGTGACCACAACTCCTCAACTGACAGCATGTTGCTCTGAGGGATAAAGTTTGAGCATCAAGCTGTGAGACCACAGGTACTCTGAAACACCGATCTGAAATGTGAGCAAAGATATAATATGGTCCAAGTATGTGAGTTACATTTTAAAATACAGAAAAGGTAAGATTATCACTTGCCAGTAGGCTGACTGACTTCTTCATAGGACATTTTGTAGACAATTTGTTTGAAACTTTTAGTAGTTTTGGTTTTGGTGCTAGAGGTAGAAGAGCCTTGTGAATGCTAGCCAAGCACTATAGTATCCCGAGCCCACAAACCCTGAAATTAACTTTAGAAAAGGAAGGTGATGTGGTTGCACAGGTATGTAATCCTCACACTCAAGAGGTGGAGATAGTGAGTTCGAGTTCAGCCCTGTCTCAAAAAACCAAACAGACAAAAAAAAAAAAAAACAGGAATATTGTCATTTCAAAATAAATCAAACAAGAACAAGGCAGGGAAGGGCAGACAGGGAAGTCTACAGAGGAACAAACACATCTCAAAGACTGCTGAGTGGGAAATGAAAACTACATCAACTGTGGTACCTCCGTGAGAACTAGAAGTTTCCTTTTAATTGAAGCCGTTATTCAAGAGCTGGAACTAAAACAAAAGAGGGTTTTTTTTTTCTTCTGTGTAATAGCTTACTTTTTGGGAGACTGCCCAACATGACTGAGACCTTCCATTTTACAAAAAGTGGCTGTTGGGGTTGGAGAGATGGCTCAGTGGCTAATAGTACTGACTCGACGGGCGCACACCTTTTATCCCAGCACTCGGGAAGCAGAGGCAGCCTGGTCTACAGAGTGAGTGCCAGGATAGACTCCAAAGAGGCAGTCTGGTCTAGAGTGAGTGCCAGGATAGACTCCAAAGCTACAGAGAGTCCTGTATGACTTCTCTTCCAGAGGATCCAAGGTTAATTCCTAGGACCCACATATTGGCTCAAAGCCATTCAAAACTCCAGTTCCAGGAGATCCGACACGCTCTTCTGACCTGCAATGGGCACCAGACAAGCATGTGGCACACATACATACATCACACACATAAATCTAATTTTTAAGTGGCTGTTAGGCTAACTCCTTTCCCCTTGAAAGAACATATTTTATTTAATCATGTCTTTCTGTCCAGCAGTCTACCTGTCTCTTGAACATGAAACAATCACCCACATTGGCTCATGTTTACAGGTCCTGTCCCTATCAGATGGTTATTGGGCACTTACCCAGAGAACTCCCCAGGCTGAGCGCCCTAGGAAAAACACAAGCTACAGCCAACCTCATCTACAGAAAGAGTACCAAGAAACCCTGTCTCAAAATACAAAAACAATTAAAAAAACACAAAACATAAACAGATGTGTAGTTAAGTGTGCCCACTGTCCCAAACAGCCAACGTTCTCCTTTTGCTCATAAGTTCAACTACACATATCACTGGGGAGAACTGACCGGTCTGGCAGCTCTATGGACCCACTTCAAGGAATGTGACATTTTTCTTTATGTATACAAGTGCTCTACCCGCATGCTCACCTTTACCCAAGAAGAGGGCATCAGTCCCACTCTAGACAGTTGTGAGCCTCTATGTAAGTGCTGGGAAATGAACTCAAGACCTCTGGAAGAGCTGAGCCATCTCTCCAGCTGGGAGTAGAGCTCAGCAGTAGGCTAACATGTTAGATTCCTGGGTTCAAAAGACAGAAACAAAAAAATCTCACTGTATTATTGAAAAATATTTTTTTAGACAGGGTCTCCCTATGTATCCAAAGCAGACCTCAGACTTAGGATACTCCTGCCTCAGTCTTCTAAGTGATGGGATTACAGACACTCACTACCACTTCTGGTGAGCACTATTTTTTGTTTTGCTTGGTTTTAAGTTCTCAAGTGGGAGGGAAGAGCAAAAACCAAACAAACAAACAAAAAAAAAAAACAGAAAAGGTTAGCTGCTTGGCCTAGAAAAATACTCCTTTTGAAAATAAGATGCCACAGGGCCTGCTGCACACCTTTAATCCCATCACTGGAGAGCTGGAGGCAGAGGCAGGCAGATCTCTGAGGTGAGGCTGATCTACACAGCCAGTTCCAGGGCAGTCAGAGTTATATAGGGAGACACCGTTTCAAAAAAGCCAAAACAAGGAAACAAAAAACAACGACCACCACCACCACAACAAAAAAACACTTGATACAAGGGGAGGGGAGAGTTGTGTTCATTAGACTTTAGCAAATGTATTTTCCATTTGTTAGTATTTAAAATAGCTTCAACTGATGTTGTACACATCACGGCACCATACAAAGTGTAAAACTTCAGCAGTGATTCTGTCTCAGAAAGCAAACGAACTGCAGATAACCACCCCCACCAGAAGTGCTCTGGAAACATGATTAGGTTGTACAAACATATCACAAATCCAACAGCACACGGTGCAGCCAAAACCTTTTCTATGAGCCTCAAAAGTCCTTTTGGACGTAATCACTGGGCATTGGTGTCTGGCAAGGATCAGATTTCGAGGATCCAATTCCGTGCTGTGTTCTCGCGTCTCAGCGCCAAGAGCGCCATCCAAGTCCTTTAAAAGCATCGAAGACACACGCAGAACCGGGTCAGAAATCGCCAAACTCGACAACGAAACAGAAGGAGGGCTGTCTGTTTCCTTCCTCTGTAGGAAACCTGTTACGTTCTAGCTTCGTAGAAAGCCGGAGCTTCGGGCTCCTCCAGACGACTGTCCGGCTCTTCCTCGTCCTCCTCGTTCACCTCGCCCAGCACCTCTCTCAACCACTGGTCCGCGCTGGTCTCCGGCCTCAGATAGCACCATAGGATCAGAACTGTGAGGGTGAGGGTGATAGGCAGCACTTTCCACCAGGGCCGCCGCTCATTCTTCCCCAGGGAATGCTCCACCGTCCAGCGGACTGGGGTGGCTTTGCTGGAGGAAAACTGGATGGGGAGGTTGGGGTCTCCCTCCTCCTCTTCCCTGTCTGTAGGCTGGGCTGGAGACCGGCCATGGAGCGGCGGATGCAGGCTTCGCGAAGCCCAGCCTACGAGCCGCAGAGCCCGGACCGCTCTGGAAAGAGAGTCAGCAGTAAGCGTCCCGCCGCCACGGCCGCCTCCCGCCCTAGCCCACCTGCACCTCGCAGCGCTCACCCCGCAGTCCGAGAACACAGGACACCGCTCATAGCGACCTCGGCTTGCACTCTGCGGCGCACTGCGCTTTCGCTACTTCCGTCGCACAAAACCGGAAGCAGAACTTCACATCAAATTTCTCTCACGACTACAGAACGTGTGTCCAGCCGCTCAACGGAAATGACGTATTTCCTCCCGAGAGCTCTTCCGTCTCGAGTCCCTAGTAGCCTGACGGCTTTCGCGTTTGTATAGTTTCTCCATAGAGACTGGAGCCTTCGGGGCGGGTCTCGTCTCTGGGGAGCTTGGCCCGGGACTGTTGAGTGTGATACCGGCGGTGCGCACGGATTTGAGAACCCTGAATTTTTGCTGTCTTCTTCCCAGGACCATCATCACAGAGGGACTTGGTCCCTTTTCTCCAGAAGCGTGTCTTCCATTCTTAGCGCTCCATGCAGGCTCTCAGCCTCATGCTTGGCCAGTGTCTCAGCTACTGTCTACGTCCACCTCAGTTATACATTCAGGCCCGAAGGTGGGAAGCCTTCGCACCGTAGATGATGCCTGGCCAGTCCGTCCCCTAGAAAAAGCATGTAGAGACATCGCATTCACCTAGGCCCTCAGGGAGAATGGAAATGGCTCTGGGTAGAGCACAGGATGTCCAGACCCTGGACATCCTACCAGCTTACAGGGAGGCAATTCCGGAATTACACGCGTACCTCACCAGTGTGTGCAATTTGAGCTGGGAGCTGATTGAGGCTTGAATCAGTCCTAGCCAGGCAAGCTTGTAACCCCAGCACTAGAGGCAGAGACAAGAGGATCACTGGTTCCGGGTCAGCTTGGACTACATGGCTAGACCACCAACCCAATTTAAAATACAAAACAAAAAACAAAAAACCAGGATCAGCCCTAACAGTGTCTTCTGCGTACCTATGTTGCATAGAAACTGCAGTGAGTTATATCACACCTGGGCTTAGCACAGGGCCCACTAATGACAGTCGCTCTGGATTTGTTCTTGATCTGTGAACCAGTCACAAAAAATATAAACATCTCCCCCTGTCTCATGTGTCAGACAGCTGTGAGTCCCAGAAACGAGGATCCTTTCTGGGCAAGCAGAGTCCCCATGCTCGTTTTGCTCAGGGGACAGTGTCTGAAGGCACCAGAGCAGGGGAAGTGGGAAGTTAGGAAGATGATCCTTCAGCCCTTGACTGGTATCGATGTAGACATTCCTGCTGGAGAGAGGCCCAGCCTTACATAGAACTCCCAAGGAAGTGGAGGGTGCCCTCCCTAGGCTGCAGAGAGGGAGAGACAACAGCCGCTCACAGTGCTTCCTGAAGACATGAAGTTCACCTCCAAACACTCAGCCCACTGACCTTTCTTCACCTTCAACTCCTCTTTTGGAGGACTGAACTTAAACTCCCCATCCAGGGAATAGGGACCTGAAATAAGTTAGATCCAGAATGTGGAGGGAAATTTGCACCTGTTCCAACTGCAGGATTAGTGGGCAGCCTGTAGACTCACCTGCTTTGTTCCCCCCAAGTGAGCAAGGCTGGGACCTTGTGACCAGGTTTTTTCCTTTGCTCACTGTCTCTCTCCTGGGGCAGCACACTAAGTCTATCATTCTGAAGGTCACCTTAGCTTTTGGCTTCATATTGTTTTGTGACAAAAGAGGGTCCTGGGGTCGGTAATTACCCTAGGAAGGAACAAAATTAGGAGCCTCCTTGTGACCTGGAACACGATGTTTTCCTGTGCCCACTTAATAGCGGGAAAAGCGTCACATACTAGAGATGTGAGAGCCCAGGAACACCTGTGAGTCCTCCCCACACTGAGAAGCCCAGCCCAGGACCCTGGCTGAGAGCTGCTGTGTCAACAGAGGCACCTGTCTGCCCAGGTCCTCCTACCTGGGCACTGCCCCACCTGTTCCATCACAGAACCCCACACTACTACACTGCTCTCTTGACAAAGTCCTCGCAGCACCTAGGGCCTTAACCATAGGTAATGTGCAAGCTGGGGGTATGGGGAGGTGTGGCTTCCTAAAGGAGGTGGAGCTCTAGACTCAATCTGTAAAGTGTTCCCATTCGAGCATGAGGACCCAAGTTTGAGCCCTACCAGCCACTTACAAAGTTCTGTGTGAGCCTGGGCTCAAACCTGTAATCCAGACCATTAGGAATACATCCTCTCTTTTGATTAAAAAAAATTTTTTTTGGTTTTTCGAGACAGGGTTTCTCTGTGGCTTTGGAGGCTGTCCTGGAACTCGCTCTGTAGACCAGGCTGGCCTCGAACTCACAGAGATCCGCCTGCCTCTGCCTCCCGAGTGCTGGGATTAAAGGTGTGCGCCACCAACGCCTGGCTTTGATTTAAAAATTTTAAGCCAGGCTTTGGTGGCACATGCCCTTATCCCCAACACTTGCAAGAGAGAGGCAGGCAGATCACTGAGTACAAGGCCAGCCTGGTCTACAGAGTGAGTTTCATGACAGCCAGGGCTACACAGAGAACCCTGCCTCAAAAAATGTCTATTTTGTGTGTATGTGTTTTGCAGTGAATGAATATATGTGCACTGTGTGTGTGCCTGGTGCCTATGAAGGCCAGAAAAGGGTTCTGGATCCCCTGGAACTAGAGTTAGGGATGGTCGTGAGCCACCATGCGGATGCTGGGAACAGAACTCATCCTCTGTAAGAGTAGCAAGTGCTCTCAACTGCTGTGCCGTCTCTGCAGCCCCACATGTCTGCGGTTCTGAGTTGGCAAGTTTATGGTGCTCAGTCACAGGACCCCAGCATCTGATACAGACGCCACCTTCACATCACCCTGCTCCTGAGGGCATCTGGTCCAAGGCCACGCCCTGTGTCCTTGGACCCCATTCCTCAGCCACCGGCTCCTGAAGCAACCATCCTCCCACAGACTTCTTTGGAGGAACCACTCTTTCTGCCAGGTTCTGCTACAGGAGTCTGGCTAGGAATCTGGAGAAGCAGCAGCCCTATAGTAAAAGCTCCAAGATGTGATATTCTGCCATACTGTATGTAGAGCATTTGCCTCACCTCTCAGGAACATAAACCAACACCTCAGCCCTCATTATTGCAAAACACACAGAGAAATTTCACAGGAAGCCTAATGTCTCCCTAATGGGGAGGCAGAAGTGGCAGCCGTCAGTGTGCTTAATGGCAGGGTAGTTTATTGTAGCTCCACTTAAGAGATGACATATTGGAGCTATTGATTTTCTCAGGAAAATAGAAACCAGGTGCCTGGGAGCAGGCAGGTCTGTAAGAGCGGAGTCCTGCTCTCCCAGGGTCTGAGGCCTAACAGTGGGTTGGGGCTGGTGGGGTAGGAGACAGTGGGCAAAGAGATTTGCTGGGCCTGACCCAAAACATTGCCCAGTTTGGGGCAGATGCTAGAACATATGCTTCAGCCCCAGCCTCCTCCAGGGTCCCAAAATGGCAGATGACAAGGCCAGGATGACACAGGCTTGGGCTGGCCTTGTCCACCCACTAACTGCCAGCTAGACATATGAGGCGGCTATTCTAGGAAAGTATGTCTCTCCACTGACCCAGAGTTCTCCAACCAAGCCTTACCAGAAACAAAAGTTGCAGTTCAACCTCTACCTGCAGGACACATGGTCTGTCATTAACATGGCTGACAACCCAGCAGGGGTGAGTCCTTTAAGTCTCCAGATCGTTCCTACATTGACACTCTCAGTCTGCCCTTGTGGCTTCCTCCCTCTGGCTTCCCATCTCTTTGTCAGTCCCATAGGCCCCTCTTAGGCTTCTCTTTCCAGACAACTATGTGCTCTGGTTTCTCCCCATTTTAGAATCTTCTGTCCTGGCTTGTGGTTTTCCCTGTCTCTTGCCAGGCAGTGAAGAGTGCCAAAATGACTCCAGGATAAGGACAAGGCCCTGTCCATGCACACCTTTCTCTCAGCCAGTACCAGCGAGCACCTCTGCACTTGGCCAGGTCAGGACTTAGGGCTGTCAGAGTCCTACTCCCATGTTCAGATGCCTGAGGGAGACGAGTAGGGAATGAAGGTGTATGTGGGGAGTATAGTAAAAGCCGAGCACCGGGGAGGACGCAGCCCTAGGGAGTGACCTCCCATGCCCTCCTTCTGCAGGAGAGGGTCTCTCCACACAGAGGAGACACTGAGGCTCTGGTGTTCTTTGGTTTCCTTGCATGTGTACTTGTATATGTGAATTGATATGTGTGTGTACGTGTAGTGGAGTGTGCATGGATATGGGAATGGCACATGTGAATGTGTGTACGTGTGTGTGTGTGTGTGTGTGTGTGTGTGTGTGTGTGTGTGTGTGTGTAGGCCAGAGGACAACTTCAGGTGTGGTTTCTTAGATGCTGTTTTTTTTTTCTTTTTTTAGTTTTTGATTTTTTGAGACAGGGTCTCGTTATGTAGCTCTGGCTTGCCCTGGAACTCACTATGTGGACCAGGGTAGCCATAAATTCACAAAGATCTTCCTGGCTGTGCCTCCCAAGTACCAGAATGAAAGTCTTGCACTACCACACCCAGCCTTACCTTTTTATTTTCTGACATTCCCATACTGGTCTGAAACTCAAGAAGGCTAGGATAGCTGGATCCCAGGGTCTGCCTGTCTCTGCCTCCCTAGAGCTAAGACTACAATCATGTACCACCACAGCCAGCTTTTGGCTCTGAGTTCTCTCTCTTTTTTCTGTTTTGGGTTTTGGAGACAGGGTTTCTCTGTCTAGCTCTGGCTGTCCTGGAACTCACTGTGTAGACAAGGCTGGCCTTGAACTCAGAGCTCTGCCTGATGAGTGCTGGAATTAAAGGTGTGTGCAACCAACGCTTGGCATCTCTAGAGTTCTTGACCTCACCTGAGCATGACCTCAACTAGGACATTGGTACAGGGGATCCCCATGCTGGGAGTCACAGGGTCCTACAAACCCACCCAGCCCTGTCTGCAGCCAGGACTCTCACTACAGTGTTCCTGTTATGCCAATGCTCATGATGCCAGCTGTTAGCTTATGTGGGATTCCCAAGAAGGGTTTGGAGTCCAGGAGAGTTTCACTGAGTTTCACTGAGCATCAGATGACATTCCAGAGCCTGCAAGGAACACTGGCTTCCTTATGATTCCCAGTTTCCGAAAGTCCCAGAACCCCTCGGCTCATGGCCCTTTCCTTATCAAGC